CATCCATCCACCCATCCATCCATCCAACACTCCATCCATCCATTCATTCACTTATTTGTCCATCCGTTTCTTAACTCGCTGATTCCTCATTTATCCATCCCTCCATTCAGCCATCGTTAATTCGTTCGCTGGTTCGTTGTTACTTTATAATCTACTACAGGTATAGTCATTTCCCGCTTCCCGTTTCTCTGTGCCTCGACAAATTCCTTTTTTTTCTCATAGAATAAAAACCTTAATGCCTTCAAAATCTTTTACCAAAACTTTAAGCCATAAAACAAAACACTATTGACAAAGAGCGAGATTATATCAGTCGACCTGCCTCATCAAATCACCCAGGAAATAGTTTTTCCCCTAATAATTCAATCACAAGAATCGATTATGATACTTCGATACGAACGAAAGCGTTTCAAAAATGCTAAAAAAATTGACAGACGAAAGTTGTTCGAAAACAATTACTTCCTTAGCAAAAGCAAAAAAAAAAWAATAAGCCACTATATAAGCAGTTTTTCGAAGAAACAAATCGTAAAGGAGATAATAATTAAAAAAAAGGAAAAAACAATTCATTGACTATTAATTTAATTCGAAAAATTATGTCAAAGATAAAATATTCCAAATAAGTTACTGTTTCTAAGGAATTAAATGGCTCAAATATCGAGTGGAAAATATTCCGTATTTCAAAGAAAATTTCCGTACGTTAAGGCTACAGAATGACCTGCTAAGCAAGTTGAGAAAAAGGACATTATTACATTTTATTGGCTATCTTTTAATATTCAGCTTTTAGACAGCGCCTATAACAAGAAATAGATATATCATAGTAGTGATTCCTTAATCATATCAACGGTTCACCTTTAGGAATGAATAAAAATATATATATTGAATATTCTATCGAAGAAAAATACTTTTTTTCCTTGAGATTTGCCGATAATGTTTTAAAAACAAAGATGGAATTTCATTATTTAAAAAGAGTAAGATTATGAAAAATGTTTATAAAATCCTTGTCAAAATTGACAGAGATATATAAATGCATTTAGTTTAAATGTGAAGCGTAAAAATTGCTTTATTTTTTACCTTCGTTCGTGGTCGTAGCGTCGCTTGATTTCTCATCCTTCAGACCGTCCTTCAGACCGTCCTTCAGACTTGATTTTAAGATTTCTTGTTCTCTCGCACTAGTCTTCGATGGAATTTCTCTTTCCGATTTAATAGGAGGTTTAGGAACGGGTTTCTTGGAGGGAAGTATCGGCTTCGTCGAAGGCTTTGGAGGTACGGGTTTTTTCAGCGGTAAACTCGGCTTAGAGAATTCAACGCTTGGTTTAGGCTGATGTTTTGGTAGTGGAAGCTTTGGAGGTTCGTGGTCGCTTGCTTTCTTCATATCTTTTTTATTTGGTTCACCAGTGCTTTGAGTTTCTTGGTCAGGAAGTGGGGGCGGGGCGCTCTTCTCGAGGACTGAAATCAAAATTACAAAAGCCTCCTATTGACTCGCTTCACTACACAAACATTGCGGGATTTCCTTATGATTAAGATAAAACACAGGCCATGAAATATTATCGATTTTCTGAATATTGACTGCTATGTATTATTGATTCACGCCTGTCCATTTGTCTAATTCAATGAGGTTTGAAAAGTGACCGTGTCACGCAAGTTTAAGTCACGCAGCGTCTATTGAACTCCGTCCAGACGTGTCGTTAAGATGTAGTCATGACAAAGTAAATATACTGTATACCAAAGAAAAATAATATTTTGACTAAGTAAGGATACAAAACGGGAAAAATTAAAATGAATTGAACTGAATTAATTGTTGAGCGAAGATGTCAAAAAAAGAAAATATTTTAAGAGACTTTAAGATAATATGAACTTTTTCGCTATCGTTCGTTAAAGTGCACATGAACCCTTTGACAATACTTTCAGTACTGATTCTACATGAAGTAAATAGTTGAATGGTAAAATATTTCTTGATTTGAGTGATGCGTTTCTAAGTTATGAAGGTTTATACTTTCAATATGCTAATGAGCGTGACGTCTATTAAGGCTTAATTAAATATACAAAATCGAACTGGTTCATAGATACAGTATTTAAAAAGCATCATTATTTTACTCATGGTTTACATGAAAGCTATTTAAAATTTTTATTTTCAAAATGGCCAGCATTTAGTATTACTAGTTACAACAAAAACACTCAAATACCTTACCTGACGTCACCATCATTTACATATTGGCAGTATAAACCTTCATAACTTAGAGACGCATCACAAGAAATATTTTACCAATCAACTATTTACTTTATGCAGAACCAGTACTGAAAGTATTGTCAAAGGGTTCATGTGCACTTTAACTTTTCGTGACGAAAACGTGCGTTTAGAAACGTTCGCAAGAAATTAGTGAACGCGTCGGTTAGCGGTCGTGAATTTACAGAGGGCGATCAAAAAACGTGCAAAAAATCAGAAACTTATGAACCCAGACAAGCATGATTTTGTGCAAATTAGAACACACACAAAGAGTGTGGGATCAAGTTATGTCATTTTTCTAAATATTATTCAGTTTATAAAGAATGGCAAAAACAGTAATATAAGGCTGCGTTCATAATGTATGGCAGAAAGGGGGGAGGGGAGGGAAGGGGAAATTTAGGGGGGACCGGAAAATGTTTGACCAGTAAAATGGGGGGGTTTGAAAATTTTTTTCAAAGAGTTGCAGGGGATGCAACATTTTTAGAGAGATTGCCTGAGGGGATATTTATTTTTTGGGGGACTTAGGAGGGGGACTTAGGAGGGGGTCTTAGGAATGATGTTGTCATTTAAAGATTTCACCTGCCCCCCTCTGCCATACATAATGAAAGCAGCCTAAATGCAAAATTACCTGGGGTGGGAGTGGGCATATGCTTTCTGTGAACATGCTTTGGTTTTTCCTATATTCAAAAATGCATACATGGGTAAGCTTTCTCAAAATTTCTCTCCTTGTCTTGAAGAGTTGCCCCARATTCTCCGTCCCACATAAAAATTAACATGTGAGTCAAAAGTTTAGCATAGAATACTGTATTATGCAGTGAAAGTCAATGTGAGTGATAGGTGCAAATTGGAAACCAATTTTACTTTGTTTGATTTGTATTCATATTCATGTGCCATGCACAACAATTAAACAAAGAAACGATACTCTAAAGAATAACATGTAGTTTGAAATGGAAAAAAAATTACTTAAAAACATTCAAGATAAAAAAGGGTAAAAATGAAGAAATGGGAATAAAAACAATTACTTAATTAAAACTTTTGTGTCCCACTGGAATTGCTGCAAAGAGTGTACAGGGTCTGGAAGGGGTGGGGGATCCCAAATCATGTGCTATTTTTTCCCCAAATCCCATGTCGATCTGCATCATTTTGCCATTGACAACCACATTCAACCTACAGTATTTAAAGGCGTTTGAATTCAGTAATTCCGAGTCATGGATGATGACAATATCCCAAATTATGTAAAAAAATTTTTTAGTTTCCTGGATCCTGTGCTATATTTCATCCACTTCCTGGCTCCCGCAAATACCCTTCCAGTCCCCAAGTCTACTGCAAAATCTGTCTTTACTTGGCATTTTACTTACTTTCTCCTCCTCTTCCTCTGGTAGCAATTCCACAAAGTTATCAGGAAAGAGACCTGTCTTCCCCTTCAGTTCTCCTTCCCACCAGCCCTCAGTGTCCTCTACATCTTTATTAAGGACTGTTACAATATCTCCGACTACTAAGTCTAGTTCATCGTCGTTTTGCTTCTCATAGTCGAAGAGTACTTTTGCTCGTTCAACTTTCTTGGTGGGCGCTGTTGGTGCTGTGGGATGCAAATCAAACAATAACAAAGTTAGGAGAGCACTAAGACTTTATAAAATTCATTTTTCATTACCCCTGATTTCATTAATATGTTCCCATCTCATTTTGTACTTTACATTTGGTTTTCAGACAACAAAAGGAGCTACAATAGGCATGTTTAATGTCTATGATTGAGGGCAGACTATGGTGTCAGTAACTCTATATTAATTTTCATAGTTCCAGGTTTTTTTGTTCGTTAAACAACAGCCTTACTCGAAAATAAAGAAAATAAAACTTATACTTAGAAAGATTCACCAAATCCCCTCATAGAAATAGTATTTTTCATTTTTAGGAATGAGGTAAAAACAATGGTCCAAAATAGGGACCCAATTTTATGAATTAAGGTGGTGGGTACCGGTACATACCCCTACCCCCTCAGAGACCTGTTTAAATGCCTGATACTGGGGGTGTGTAGTGGCAATTTCTATACACAAATATGTTTTCTAGCATACAAGCAGACAGACAGTCCATTCATTTCTATGATTTGGCTATTAGTTTTGGAGATATTTGGGGGCAAAATCTAAGATTTCACTTCCAGAGGTGGTGGCTACCAGGTAACACCAACCCTCCCCCCTAAATCGGGTACCGTGAGATGACAATTGTTTTGCCCTCATCCCTTATTTTGGAGAAAAATATTACGTTTTTGCAAGAGAAAATATCAATATTTTTGGAAATTTTTGCCGTGACAAACAATGCATTGCAATCCTACATTCCAAATCACCTAATACTATGACAGTGGTTTGGAAATGTGATCTTAATTCATATAAAATTTGTTCAATTTTTGGTATGTTTTTCTTCGAGAAACATTAATAGCTAGAGAAGGTATCTAGTTTTTTTGCACACAGACTATTTTGTACACACATTTTTGTCCACATATAAAATTGCCTATTTAACATATCAGAAGTGCACACGAGATATAAACAGTGCCATATTATCAAAGGTCATAATGCGTATGTAATAAATGAAAAAAGAGCTAGGAAAGAGTTTTTAAGTCTGATCATATTTTGAAGTTAGTAGTATAGGGAATGGGGGTTCCAGCGCAATCTCAACACGGGCAAGACCCGTGTCAAAAATCCACCTACGGAAACAACCCACTCCAAGCGTGGTTGGGGGCAACAGCGCAAATATGTTAGTCTATATATGGAGTGCGAAGA